TGTGTGTGTGTGTGTGTGTGTGTGTGTGTGTGTGTGTGTGTGTGTGAAGGTCCTGCCGTGTCTATATTCAACCAGGTTTGGTAAAAATAAATACATATATGTTTAGGAGCGGATCCTGAACCCCCACGCTGCCTCCTGTACCTGTGCAGCCTGTTGTGATGACCCGACAGCGGTGAGTCTCTTTAGATCAGGTTTTAATGATGTCCAAATTTTTTTTAGTCAATTTCCAGTAAAACCTCCAAAATGTACCTGCTCTTCATTCCCAGATCGGGATGTATTCCACTCAGGTTTCTTTTACCAGACAGGTAAAAATAGTTTGTTTTCATTTAAACAGTTTTCCTCTGAAGTTGAAGTACACATTTAAATAGATTGACCACAGAAGACTATGGTCTGAGTTTAACGACAAATATAATTTCAGTTTGTTACAATCAGACGGATATTATTCCCTATCCAAATCATTGTTTTGTTACAAAGTAATACCTGTGTTATACAAGCTGCATAAAAGCTACCTCTGTTTATAGGTGAAGACTTCTTCTGTTTAAACCGGATTGAGATTGTTTTTCATTGTTGTGATTGTGGTATGGGTTCATTTAAACAAAACGGTGGTGCATCTTTTCCAAACATTTTTTTTTTACTTTTAGACTAGAGGCCCAAACAATTAATTTTTCTTTCTTACCAGCAACATGGAACAAATTGCCATTAAGAGTAAAAACAAACCGTCCTACAGCCAGTAGTGGGCAGGCTTGATGGTGGGATTAAAATATTTGGTATCAGTCAAATCTGGCAAAATCTGGCAAAACCTGGCAAAACCTGGCAGCCCATGAAAAATTCTGGGAGCAAAAACAAATATTTTGGGGACAGTGAATACAAAACAGCGTTTTCGGTCCAGATGACATTTTTGCTAATCTCTACTAACAGTTATCTACATATGAATGAAGATAACTTAGACACCGATAGCTGACACATTTCGGTCGTAGTATTCTGCCTCTTTTGTTTTCTACATAGACGGTCTATCTGCAAGCAACTAAGCTCGCTGAAACATAAAAAAAGAAAATCTTGACCTTCACCTACAGGCAAATTCACTTGAAGAATTTTTTTATAGAGATTAGGCAACATAGTCTCTGGTTCCAGTTTCTGAGATAATTTTCAGCTGTTCTCTGTGTCCCTGTAAACTGAATCTATTTGTGTTGAACAGGCTTAAGAAAAAAATAAAATGACTAATTGAATGGGTTAATCAATGAATAAAAGATATGATCATGTAACGGTCGTTCACAGACAACCTGGTTCAGACGATTCAGTTCAGCAGAAATCAGATTGGTTCTGTCTCTCTCTTAATGTCTGTCTCTCTCTGTCACAGTGTCCAAAGGATGGAGAGTCTCTGGCTACAGAAAGCATCGCAATGGTAAAGTTAACTTTGTTTTTCTGTCACTACATCCTCTCCTCCTTCTTTTAACCTTTGCTCTGTAAGTCATCTGGTTCACTCCCCGGTGGCTGACAGCAGCAGAGCATAAGCCCCACCTCCTCCATGTCATCCATCTTTATATAGTCACTTTATATACAGTCACAGTGTGTGTCTCTGCAGATTGTGTTTACTACAGTCTCCGTTAACAAAGACAACAGCAACAGTCATGCTCACTTTTTTTCATTTAAGGTATAATTGCAGTGATAGAGAGTGGGTCAGCCATTAGTCACTGGATTGGTTCGATCCCCAACTTCTCCTGTCATTAAATATCCTAAATTAACTCCAACTTTTCTCTGCAATAAGTCACAAGACAATTGAAGCAATCTATATTGAGCCCGAAAAACTTATATAATCAAACAGAACCAAGTCAAACTCATCGTTTTTCATCTCAATGTCTGTGATTCAAAGCATCTCAACTGTTTCTCCACTGCTCAGAGTGGACCAGTCCGCCTCTTTGTCCCATACAAGAGACGGAAGAAGGATATGGATCTTCCACTCATCCCCCCCAAAAAGGAACTTTCTTCCACCAAAAGCATCACGCTGACCCCTGGGACCACATGTAAGTCAGATTACCTCCCCATGTGTCCGCAAGAGGGGCGCTGTCTCTGTGTGTCACAGTAGAAGAAGACAAAAGTTTAAACAGTTTGTCGTTCAGGATTAGCAGGTTCATATCTGTTAACTCATGCTCACTATCACATCAGCTTCATCAGTGAGATAAACTTGTAAACCTTCCATTTACATGTCTGACATATCTGTCCTCCACTAACAGTCACTATGTCCCCGACTGGAACGTTCACCACCCCCGGCACCTTGACCTTTGACCGCAGTCCAACTGCCGATGCTGCCGCTGCTGCCGCCATCATCTCTGAGGGTTCGGCACAGAGCGAGGTGTTTGCCAGCACAGCAGGTACCATCCCCCCACTTATTAATGATCCCAGAACCTTAGGGAAAAGTAACAGCGTGCACACATAGTCTCTCTCTCTCTCTCTTTGTCTCTATAAACTCAGTAAATGTATGTGGAGCAGGAGGAGATGGCGGCTCCATCCATTTGGTTTAATGCAGTTGGCGTGGTGAACCGCACGAATGACAGAGTGACAAGAGAGGATGTAAATTACTGACAAAGTAACCAAATTACCACTGTAGGTGGACTTAGTGGAGCTGTGCAGACTTAGTGGAGCTGCGGCCGGTCTGTGTGCCTTCTCACGGCGGTGGAGCTGTCTGTCAGTAGCCAGGGACTGTTTATATTTATTTATTGTATGTTTACTGTCGGCGGCCACATTACTTTCAACACGGCTGCGCGAAATAATACAGTCTTTTTTTCCGAATAGTTCCCGTTTGGAACCATGATTGTAGTGTTTGTGAACCAGTTTATAATAATGATATTATAATATTTCTGAGATTCTTCCGCGTACCACCAGAGAGAGCTTGCGAACCACTGTTGGTACACATTCCATTGTTTGAGAACCACTGGTCTAAAACATGTTTGAGCTACAGAGATTAGTTGATCAGTCGACTAGTTGATTGACAAAAACATTTTGAGAAACTATTTGAATAATTTAAGAATGATTTCTGTTCTTTGATTGTAAACTGGATATACTTGGGGTTTTTTTATGTTCGTCAAATGAAGCAAGAAATGATGGGCTGGTTAGTTTTCCTGCTGGGCCTGTAAAATTTTGAAAATACAGCTCACTTTTGTACACTCGAGAAAAGTTGAACAAAGATAAAACCTGCTTGGATTAAAGGGATATTTCACCCAAAAATGAAAATTCTCTCATTATCCACTCACAATATTCTGATGGACGGGTGGGTGAAGTGTTTGAGTCCACAGTTTAGGAGTCTTGAGAGTAAAAAAACAACAGAAAAACCATAAGATGCCTCTAAACTGCTCCTGTGGAGTCATCCAAGAGTCCATATGCCCCAACATTCAAACTCGAATCAAAACACCATGTTTCAAGCCTAAATGTCCGCTGTGATCCACGCATGAATGCAGCTCCAGAGGAGGATAACAGCAGACATTTAGGCTAAAAACATGCTGTACATGACGCTGTTTTGAGTCAAATATGAATGTCGGGACTTACAAACACTTGGATGACACCAGCATTTAGTTTATGTTTTTTTTTTTTACATTTGAAGAATCGGTCACTATTTACTTCAATTGTATTGGATTCAGCTGCAACGCTCTTATCCCTGAAACTCGTGAGTGTTTTGTGGACTCGAACACTTCACTCCATCAGCAGAGTGGAGAGTAGATAATGAGTCAATCCAAATTTTGGGGTGAATTGGCCCTTTAAATCTTTACAATGGAAAGTGGCACACCAGAGAGACAAGTGTGTCCACTGGTACAAATTATCAGCAAATCTGTTTGGCAGCATTGCACTGAGCTCTTTGTACAGCCATGGTCCCCCTACTTAACCATTTGAGAAGGGTTTCCCACAATCCCCTCTATTGCTGCTGCCCAGCAGCCTATCCATCTTTCTGATTCGCTGTTGTTGCTGTAATGAGCTCTCAGGAGAGGACGACTCCGCAGGTTGACTAATGAGGGGTCTCTGCAGCTTGATGTCCCAATTTCGCTACCTGATGATAACCTCCGCTTTACAGGATCAGAGAACATCCAACGTCTGAGAGTTTTGACCAGTACTGAATAACTCAATTTGAGTTTGTGGTGTTTTCAGGGGCTGAGAATTATTTGTCCGTTTTGATCTGTTGATAAACACAAACATTTTATTTCATCCAAAATTCAAACATGAAAATACCATTCATTTAAATTTAAATTTAAACAGTCACTGCTCAGGACATTTTCGCCACCTCTAGGGCTCTTCTGATTGGTTGAAAAACTAAAAAATATAATCTGACTGCTCAGCAGCACACACGCAGCTGTGGTCCCAGCATTAGGACTGTCTCATCGTCTGTCAGGTTAATGAAGCTCTTCCTCTGTGTGTGTGTTTCACATGAAGTGAGTATATGTAAAAATGATTCATAATTTACATACATCAATTCAAATCTACAGATTAAGACTAAATCTGTCCGTCAGATTTTAAATGTCAGATATTTAGTGTCAGATATTTAATGTCAGATTTTAAATTTTTTCTTTGAGCTCATGTGTAAAAGTAGCTTTTCTCTCTTTTGAAGAGAAGATGAAAGATGAAGCTGTTGAAGCCTTTAATTGCTTTTATCTACTGCAAAAGAGAGAAGTAAATTCTCTGCAGCTGTAGCTTAACTAAGACAGAATTAAACTAGTGCTCACAAATCTGGACAGATGAGCTGCTTTGACTTAAGACAGAGTTTTATCAAAGTGCAGCATTAATAAAGGCTCATATCCAGGAAGGAAATAACCTAATATATTTGTGAAAAATTTAATGTGAAGAGAAACTCTGCATCATAAACGCTTTATAAAAAGTTCTGAACACAACGTCCATCAAGAAAACAGTTAAAAGTGACAGTTGTGGAGCTGAGGGGGCTGGGAGAGCACCTTCACCCTCACCACAGAGGATCAATCAGCGCAGGTGAGAGCTGTTAGCTGGACGACTAGCTTTTCAGCTCTGTGTCTCTCCATCTCAGTCCTCCTGAGTGTCCTAGTGTGTCTCTTCGAGGCATCTCCGCCGCTGCCTTTTAACAGCTCTCACCTGCGCTGCACCTCTGTGGTGCAGGTGCAGGTGCTCTCCCAGCCCCCTCAGCTCCACAACAGTATGTTGTAAAACTGTTTGAGGAGGACTCACAAATGACAAGTAATAATTCTGAAGTAGCTCAGGAGCATCAACACAGGACAAGAGAACAGAACGTTACAATCAGGCCGGTTTAGAACGGGTACTGCATTAGTTATAATAATAATCTGTACGCACATAGACACACACACACACACACATCTGCGGGACATGTCAAATCACAGTGTGAGATGGATGTCCAGTTATTTTTGGACTATTCTCAGTGGAGTGCTGAGCTGCCACTGACTGCACCAGCGCAGGAATAATTTCACAGACATTAAATCGTGTATTTAGGTCAGGAGTGGATGCATGGAGGAGGCACACTCGCACAGACATGCTGGCCTGGATCTGCTCAGACCACCTGCTTGTGTTTGATTCTTCATACTTTGCCTCTACATTTAATAAGTGAGGTGCATGACTAATGTATACGTCAGAAAGAGTCAGAGCAGGCGTCACTTTCGTCCAGCGTGAGGATTTTCATGTCATGTCAAATTGTGCGGTGGCCTGTCTGACTTCAAAAAATGACTTGCACTCAGTCTTCTCATATTGGCTAGCTGTGTTTTCTAATTAAATTTTAAATAAAGAGTTTCGCTATTTTCCCTACATCCATTCTTAGTTCATAGTTGATGAGCAGTAAATGATTTGGTAACATTCAATTGATTGATTTCATGTCACGCACATTATGTTCAAAGTTTAAAACATTATATTATAAGTTAAGTTAATTATTTAGAAAAGTATAAAAACAGAAAGAGTAGCAGCACCAGCAACAAAACTAAATCAATAAACCATCCCGATGTTTTTAGATTTAGAAACAAATGTAGCCGACCTACACGCATTAAAATGATGATTAACCTTTTCCATTCTTTCATCATCAGTGAACTGGAGCATTTCTGGATTTTGAACAGACGTTTCATGTATACAGCTCTTAACTCATCATAATAAGGGCGGAACAGAAGAAATTCACACAACCTGTTGTTTTGTTTTTTTACTCAAAGAGATATTTAAATATGTTAAAATATGCTCTAATACATTTTCAGAGACTGAAATCATGTTACTCCTGCATACACATGAACATTTAGAGAAGATGTACAGGTTTAATGTGATGACACTGAAGTCTACTTCAGTTGTAACCCCAGTAACTTAAATGCAATCTCTTCACTTCTAAACTGTTTCGCAGATATTCAAAACTGGATGGCACATCATTTCCTTCAACTGAACCCAAAAAAGAAAGAAATACTTGTGATTTCTACCAACTCCTCACACACCGAACTCACAAACACGCTAGGTCATTACTCCAATCTCATTACTCATTGTGGAAACCTTGGTGTTATATTTGACAGCAACCTCACCTTGAACAGCCAAGTCAAATCTATCACACAGTCATGCTTCTTTCAACTCCGGAAGATTTCTAAATTGAAGCCTTTTGTCTCTGCCAAAACCCCAGAAACAGTCATTCATGCATTTAAATCAGCACGGTTAGATTATTGCAACTCCGTTTTCTCCATCTGCAGCACAAAATCTCTCTCCTCACTTCAACTCATCCAAAATGCAGCCGCTAAGATTTTAAAAGATCCCTGAAAACGTGAGCATATCACACCCATTCTGCATCTTTGCACTAACTACAAATAAGAGTGAATTTAAAATTCTTATTTTTAAAGCCCTGAATTGTCTGAATGATAACAACATATATATGAGCCCTGAGATCCTCAAATGCTGCCCTCCTAGTTGTTCTAAAGTCCAGGCTTATGCATGAAGGTGACAGAGCATTTGCCGTTCATGCCCCCAGACTTGGGAACAACCTGCCTTCCTGTAGAGGATCACTTTATGTTTTATTTATG